ATGTACGGTGACAGCTACTAAAAGAAGGCAATAACGCATTCTAGCAAGACTACTATTGGCAATGCGCCTAATCTTCATTTAATTCTTTGTCATTGGGAGACGAAAGAGAAGAAGATACCAACACTAATTTATGAATAACTCCTAAATGTTTTAGAATTAAAGTTATTTTGGAGAAATATTTTTATAAATTATTTATACGGCTTACTTGATTGAGTTTGACAGATGTGACATACCAGAAAATAAAATACAGATTAAATAGAATTGTTATAAATATATACGGAGTGGTAGAATAAAAATGTAGTTAACATTAATAGTTACATATAATAATTTGATTAAAAAAGATTGTTATAATTTGGCCACGAATTTTTTAATAAAACATTTGTATATGTTCACATTTGGAGAATAACAAAGGCACGATACTGATTCCAGTTAAAAATAATTAACTTTAAAAAATATATAAATTACTCCAATGATCCTTTGCTTTTGTTTTATTTTTATTTCTTGTATTGCTTTATTTTCACCTTTAGAGGTAGTTTTGTTCTTTAAACTTGAATGGGACCAACAAAAGTAAATGATTTCAACAGAACAGAATTTTCTAAATCGGTCCTTAAACTAAGGAGTTCTGAGGTAGCAAATTAAAATCTTCATAAGTCATTTTACACACGGCATCTTTTCCAAGGCGTGGATGGAACCCACGTCCTCTGGTTTAACAGTCAGGATGGTTATTCATTGACCAACAGGCCGGTCAAATTGTATCACGTACGTTCCATACTTAAGTGTTAGTTCAAAACCCGCAGCCAATGGTTTCTAATTAGAATTACATTTCAATTCATTAAACATGGAGTGTGTGAAAATTATTGTCGTTGTGACAAATCATTTATAATTAATTATACAATAAATATACAGATAGGCACTCGTTTAGAATACTAAATTACATAAATCCTTTTAATGCTTGCCCGTTTGAAACAAGCATTAGGGAATAAATATGTTTATATATGGGAATTAGTCTGTGACCACGACTGGTGCAATCTGGTTGAAACGTTACGTTACATACCTTCGAATTACTTGACGTTACGTGATCATTATGAAAATTAGAGGTACGGAGGAATTTCTTTAGATATATATAATTAGATGTACCCCGCCACACTTCGCTGTAGAACAGCTGAAGTTGTTGTTGCATTAGGAACAAAACTGACACAAAAATAGATAAAAATAATATTTGAACCGGGTTGTATATTGTTTACCGTGTTAAAATTTGATCTCAATAGATGCAGAACTTTTTGATTTCTTGAAGTGTCTGGTTTAAGAATCTTTATTTCTCAAAAGTATTTACAAAATTCACTTACTGAGAAAACATACATAAAAGTAAACAAAATAAATCCATTGAGCGTTTGAATATAATATAAAATAAAAGTGGGTAGTCAAATATATTTTGCGTAAGATTACGAACTTGCAAAACACTCGAACACAGAAAACAATGGGAATACAAGCAACTGAACCAAAGATGTAACTTGAAATTATTAACTAGATGTGGCATCCAAGCGTACACAAACCAATTTAACATTTATATAAATATATATATATATATATATTATTGTTATTGGGAATAAAAATAAAGGACCAAACTACGCAGGACAACAGCACTGCAGAGAGAAGGAAAACTTGACATAAACCCTATACCTACCTGTCTGGCCAGCGTGTTATAGTAGGCCAAAACCTCCTTTCTGAGGAGGCCTATGTCCAGCAGTGGACTATTAAAGGCTGTTGATGTGATGTGATGTTATATATATATATATATATATAAGATTGCATTTAAGGAACGTTATTGATTTCAAACACCAATAAATAGATTTTATGTGTCACAGCTCACTTCAGTCCGTCTACAACTGCTAAGTTAATTTTTTAGCCTATACTAGTTCCATTTCGGTCATTATCTTGTGACTCTTATAGACTATGACTCCTCTGTACCTCTACTCCCCATTAGTTATAGATCAGGCCTCATTCAACTAAATACCTCAGCCTACCTTCAAATGTAAGCACATTTTATTATTGATATAATGATATAAAATCTGGTGATGGGACCGATAGACGAGTCTATCTTTAAAGTTTGTGTGTTTGTGAGTCTATAAAGTTTGATTTGATTCGATTTGATTTGATTTATCTTTGTCGGAATCATTATAAACATATGTTTGAATTTAAAAAGTTTCATGTCTTGTCACGTATACGCGACAATGGCGTCCAAGCGGTATGCTTTTAGGTGTGACGGTGTTGGGTATACCTGGTTCCCCGGCTATTAGTACCCGAGACGGCGTGCGGTTTTAGTCGGTTCGAGTCCGACATGCCACCGACAGGTGGTATCCGAGGGGATTTCCGCACGGAAAAAAAAAAAAACAAAAGTGTGACGGTGTTCAGCTGAGTGAGGTTTTTTTAAATCATGTTTTCTATTATTATGTATTCCACATTATATATATTGACATATTATTATACAATATGGGCGAAATTAGCGTTTTTCTTTCTAAAGTAATTTGAACATTATTGGGAATAAAAATCTCCCGTGAGTGAAAATTCGTATTTATTAAATACCTATTAGGTATATGGTTTTAGCCCGATGGGGGCCTTAGTCAGAGGTGAAGCGACTTGTCCCAGTAGTTTTCATATTTCTCAAGTGTAAAGTCTGATAAATCCGGAACTAGTCAGTTATCCCCAAAATATACAAGTGACTTTATACAATTAAAAAAACCAGAATTTTCTAGACAAAGTCACATTTTTATTGTGTTCTTATGACAAGTATATAATGATTCAGTAATATCTACTCTATTGTAACGTGGGATGGTTGATTTTCCATTAATAATCGTAAATTATAAGCAACAAATTTAAATTATTCGAAAATGGCTCTTGTATTTAAATCTACGAAAGGTCTTAAGCGACATCGAAAATTCAAATCATCGTGTAGTTTATATATGAGTGTTAAGAATCGGTTTTAATTGAAAAACTATGTGTTATATTTTTTTAAATTATTAATCGCTTTTGCCTGCGGCTTCACTCATTTTAATGACAGCTTTGTCAATCAATTATTGCTGGATGAATAGTAGCTAATTGGTTTAACTGGCGATCTATCTCTGTGACCTATTCCATACAGATTCGTTTTGCAGTTTTGGAGGTGTTGAGTAATAAATATCTATCAACAACCGTGCAGAATATCTAGTTGAGCATAATATCTACTTTTTAAACTGTAGATGGCGCTAGCAGTGGCGAGATCAGTGTGGAATTATAACACGTCATTGGCTATTGACTGATATTGCAATAATCTAAGGATAGTAAATCTGATGATTGGTGACCGCTGACCTTGACGTCAGAAGTTATCATGTTTCACAGTATTATATATACTGTATTTTATATATATATATATATATTATTTTGTATATAATTTTGTATAATATAAGGACAAGTTTAATTATGATTAAAACTATAGAAAAATAGAAAAAATATTTCAAATGTTCAATCGCATTTTGATTAATTTTAATTTGTACAAAGTATTTTAATATTATACATTTATTAACATTATAAGTAAGTATCTCATCTCTGTGAACTTCCTCTGGTCAATTAAATATGACATATTGACCTAAATTCGTCGAATTAAAAAAAACGAGTGTGCTTTAGACTGAAGTAAAACTTCTTGGCTATGAGAGAAAGAGAGAAAGAAAATGTGTGCTTGCACTGTTCTCTCTTGCCCCTACAGTAATATACGAAACGTAACTCTCTCCTTTTCTAACTTATATCTCCCTCTCAACTTCCGTTAACCTTGCCCGATCACACTTTTCGTAACGTTCTCGTCACGCATTCACCAGCTTACTCCCCAAGTCAAGCGTGCGTAAAGAAGTTTTACTTCAATGAATTGCAATTCTTGGAACCCCCTTGTTTATTAAAATCCAAGCGATCAAAGAACAAATTAAAAAAATTAAAAAGTATATGCATTTCTTGTGTAGTCGCATAGTACAACATGTACTTAAGGCAGTGTATGAGTGCCTTTAGGAAACATTGGAAGTGATAACTTATACTAATCTAAGTTGAACTATTTAATATATAAAGCTTAGGTTATTACTTAAACTTTATGTAAAGCGTCTGTCCGAAATACGGCTAGCGCTGTGGGTTAGAGTGAGAGGGGAGGAGCATGCCTACCGCTGCCGTATGCGTGAGAGAAAGGGAAGCCAGACAGACCGGCGCCGTAACGCGTTACGTAACGAAGCGGTACCTTCCCATAAGAAGTTATCACTTCAAAAAAGTTCATATAGTACACGTCACGTGAGATAGTATGTACCGTACACCTCACATATAAGGCTGCGGTCCCACCTGTAGCGAGCAGCGAATTAACCACTTTGAAATATTTTAATAGCGCTCAATCAACTCTATATCTGAATTGATTTATTTTAAATCTGAATATAAAAATCTTTTATATGATTGTTTGTTTATTTAGATAATTTCTGATAAAGAGTTCAGTCAAATTTGAATAAGTTTTTGTTTTTGTATTGGATAGACTAAATATTAAAAGAAAAGAGTTGAAAAGAAGACGAAGCGAACGACTGTTTAATAGTTTACACGATTTTAATGCATATTTCTAGAAGAGAGTTTTGTACTTTAAGTACTAGATGTAACCTAAGGTTTACTGCTGAGTGATGATCATGCAAATAGAACGAAACGTGGGGTAGATTAAATTCGGACTTTATAGTTTTACGTCCGTTTATAATACAACGTCTAACCCTTCAGACTTCCTTTAAAAAAAGGGGTATACACGTAATCCAGTTCATCCCTAGGAATCCTTATTATTAATAATCGCTTTCCCGCCATTAGTGAGACAGCAGCCGTACACCCGAACGTATTGCCAAACGAAAATATTGCTATAAAACTCTTAGTAAATAATAATATTGCGTAAAATAACCACACTGATCTAGCACCACTAAGTTCGAAGCCAGTAAATTTATAATTAGCACGTGTTGTGTAGTTCAGTCGACGCCGGCGAAGCCCTGGGACCCCTCTATGGCTTTGATGAGCTTCTCGCGAAGTTGCTGGTAGCTCTCGTATGGGGGGAGGTCGATGCGGTTGAAACTGGAACAAGAATTACGTCATTCAAAATTATATACATTGGTTTTAATTTATTAACGAAGTATACGTACCATGTATGAGCTCTGGGATAGTTATCAGGTGAGCCCCACTTCTCAATGGTGAACAGTTGTGGTCCATTGCTCCCGTACAGCTCCTTGAATCCGTTCATGGGTACCCTGGAGGTGCCCGTCACGAACTGAAGCAAGCGGGAGCGCATCTCGTTCGAGAACGACAGGACCACCTGCAAAAGTATTTAATTTAACCTTGATTGCACGGATGGCGTAGTGGTTTAAACGGTCACCTCGTCGCTTCCTACCGCGCTGAATGTTGTGGGTTCGATCCCCACATGGGACAACACTTTGTGTGATCCACGCATTATTGTTCTGAGTATTCTTCGTTTCATGAATGTTTGTAAAGTCTTATGAGTTACTTAGGTTAATTTTTATTGCGATTGCGAGTCGCGGGCAAAAACTAGTATCTGCATACACAGCAGTCACAATACTAGTTTAACACATACATAGATATGTTACTTTTCCGGGTCATGTAAAGGTAATAAGCAAGGTAACCACTAAAAAAAATATTCATTATCATCATCATCAACAGCCTATAATAGTGCTGGACATAGGCCTCTCCTTATAAAGGAGGTTTTGGCCTACGAAACCACGCTGGCTAGACAGGTTGGTATAGGGTTTGTTTCAAGTTTTCCTTCTCTTTGCAGTGCTGTTGTCCTGTGTAGTTTGTTCCCTTAGTCGGCTCTCACGACACCCACGGGATGAATAGGGGTGGCGACATTCCGTATTCTTAATCCGTCACCACACGGAAAAAAAATATTGAAAACTTAAACTTAATTTTTAACTGGCTTTTGTTATTGAGGTGAAAAGTAGCCTATGTTACTCGGTGATAAAGCTACATTTCAGCCTCGCCAATGTGAAAGAATGTTTAAAATCCGTACAGTGGTTTAGGCGTGCGAGCGTAAAAAACAAACAAAGTCACTTTCACATCTATACTAATATTATAAAGCTGAAGAGTTTGTTTGTTTGCTTGAACGCGCTAATCTCAGGAACTACTGGTCCGATTTGAAAAATTCTTTAAGTGTTAGATAGCCCATTTATCGAGGAAGGCTATAGGCTATATATCATCACGCTAAGACCAATAGAAGCGGAGCACCAATGAAGAATGTTTCAAAAACGGAGAAAATTTATTACTATTGAGAGACGCAGACGAAGTTGCGCGGGTCAGCTAGTTTATAATATAAATACGGAAGTATGGATATTTTTAAGTAAGACTCCTGTAAATGAAGTATAGACATATGGCGTACCCTCCAGAACCACTGCACGACGATGTGGTTGGCGTGGTAGTCGCCCTTGTAGAGCGAGTTGGCGCGCCAGTCGCGCACGTCGATGTGCTGGATGCCGCACAGCAGCAGCTCCAGCTCGTGCTCGTCGAAGATCTTGAGCAACGACAGCGGCACCAGCGCGCTCAGCCCGTCCAGGAACGCGAACATCTGCTCCTCCACGCGCTTTACGAACCGCCACTGGATCACCAGCCTGACACAACCGCTACCATTAAGTACCTCACATCTTTTTAAACGACTTCAAAAAAAGGAGGAGGTTCTCAATTCGACTGTATTTTTTTTTTGTTTGTTACCTCAGAACTTTTGACTAGGTGAACCAATTTTGATGATTCTTTTTTTTTCTTTGATCTGATATCATCTCGTCTTCTTTATATAAACAAAGAAGTACGGAATCACGAGCAGCGAAACTTGGAATACTTTATGAAAAGTCTATTTAGCTTTCTGGACTTTTCAAAAATTCTGGACTTTTTATTTTAGCTTTCTGGACTCTTGAAAAGTCCAGAAAGCTAAAATGTTTTTATACAGCTTAATTCATTATATGCTTAGTTAGAGTCAATACACTGATACACAGCATTGAATGTTAGACATTGTAGATATGCCTTAAATTTAGAAATATTTTCTTTACCGTAGTTGCATTTAAAAATGAATCAATAAGGTAAAATGCACCTTTTTATAGAAATTTCTAATTTCAAATGCACCTGGCATTGCACAAATTGGGCAGTGTGATCAGATAGTGCTAGGTCAGATGGGCTATTGACCCATCATGATAAGGAAAGTCTACACAATGGCAGCTCAAGTAATAGTGGTATTTGATATGACAATTTAAAACTAAATGAATTGAATCAAAACCATGCAATCTTATGTAATATATAAGGGGCGACGAGCAGACGGGCCTTTTGATGGTAAGTGCCTACCTTCGTTCATGAACAACTTACAACTCAAGAGGCGGCCCGTATCTGCCTTCCTGTCGAGCGCGTTGCCGGCTTTTAGTTAAAATAGACTCAAACAGACTTACTTGATATATTCGTCTTTGTTCTCGTTGTCTACGGGCACGTTGGCTCCACCGGCCTTCAACTCTCGTGGTATTGTCTTACCGAACTGTTCCTCGTCCAACGCGAACGTTAGGTCCAAATCCGAAGGGTCGTTCTCCTGCAACATGCAATATTTCATATTTATGATCTCACTTTAAACTTAATCTATTGATGTCCCTTTCCTCTCTAGCCCCTGTCCCTCACGCACGCACGCACGCACACACACACACACACACACACACACACACACACACACACACACACACACACACACACACACACACACACACACACACACACACACACACACACACACACACACACACACACACACACACACACACACACACACACACACACACACACACACACACACACACACACACACACACACACACACACACACACACACACACACACACACACACACACACACACACACACACACACACACACACACACACACACACACACACACACACACACACACACAAACATGCGCGCGCGCGCACTCACAAGCAACTAACTAAACTAAAGTAAAAACCTAAATTAATATATATATTTGTATCATCATCAACAGTCTTTAGTAGTCCACTGCTCGTTAGAAAGGCGGTTTTGGCCTACTATACCACGCTGACCAGACTGATTTGTATAAGGTTTGTTTCCAGTTTTCCTTCTCTTTGCAGTGTTGTGTCCTGCGTAGTTTGCTCCCTTAGTCGGCTCTTACGACACCCACGGGATGAATAGGGGTGGTGACACACACATATAACGAACCTTAATCCACATGAGTGAATTGTAGTATTCGAGATCGACCGACTCCATGTCTTGTAGCTCTATGGGTTTTGATAACATCATCTTGTAGAAGGGACGGATGAAGAAAGCTGTGGACAGATAAGAAAAATAAATTTATTGAAGTAGAACAATGTTTTTGATATGTAACATCTCTTCTCTGACTTTTCTGAAATCAGTGGGGATGAGGTGATCCGACAGAGAACCAAGGTCACCGACATAGCCTACCGGATCAGCAAGCTGAAGTGGCAGTAGGCTGGCCATATTAGCCGCAGAACCGACAAACGTTGGGGAAAACGAGTTCTTGAGTGGAGGCCGCGTCTCGGCAAACATAGTGTAGGACGCCCACAGGACCTGTGGAGTGACGATTTGCGCAAGATAGCTGGCAGGAGCTTGATGCGAGAAGCCCAAAATCGATCTAAGTGGCGTGCAGTGGGAGGCCTATGTCCAGCAGTGGACTACGATAGGCTGATGATGATGATGTGGGCATGAAATGTGTAACAAGAAGGAAGGGAAGGGGTTAGTTCTAGAGTTGTCCGTCAGATGGCAGGGAGATGGCAGATGTCACATCATATGTAGCTACTGTAAGGGTCGAATCCTTTTTAACACGCTTTTAGAACGAAGTTCCTTATCGCGCGTTGTGAAAGGGGGCTAGACGGAAAAAAATCTCACGAAAAGTTGTAACGACACTTTTTATGTCAGTCATTCAGCGCCATCTATCAAATAGATAGGAAAACATTACTTTTCATCTCAGTATTTATTTTAAATTGTCACTTGTCAGTCATTCAGCGCCATCTATCGAATAGATAGGAAATCATTTCTCAAGGAGATTTTACCAATGTATAAATTGTTTTAATTAGAAACCAACTGAAAAATATGTAGGTAATAGCCGCTTTCATAGATGGCGTTGTAATTAAAATGGTGTCGAATCAGTTTTACTCGATCGTCACAACTTCGTTCCTATCGGGTGTCCCACGACACCACACGGCTTTTTTTATATATGTGTGTAACGGAATATACGAACATGATTTTGACCCACTTCAAAATGTCGTATTAAATTAAAACTTCGCACACTTATCAAGGACCGATGACAATACAATAATCTGATGAATTTGGCCGATTATTCTGGTCAGGATCTTCAGGATTAACAGCTTCTTCCATACCTAAAAATCATTGCTACGTACTTATAGGCGTGTGGTGAAGCATATATGTGACTTAATGAGAAAATAATCATCATTAATGACTAAAAAAGAACTAAAAAACACGTTTTTGTAACTAGCCGAACTAAAAATAGAAAATAATGTTCTAAAAGTTCTAAAAGAAAAATCATTTTATCGTAAAAAGCGTGGGGTGCTAGATTTTTATAGTATTGTGGAGGAACGGGTGTCATGTCCCTCCACCACAAAGGGAGGATCCGCCGACCAGGCGAGGTGAACATGCCTGACGGGCCGCGGCCCTACGGTTGATATCATGAAGTTATCACAATACAGGATTAGTTCGGTGTACGCTGGTTACTCTGTAGTTCGGTGGGTCTTCGTTAGATGGCGCTGTAGTATGTTTTGTGTTTCATCGTCTGTGGAAATCGCCACAGTAGCTTAAAACATACTTTTTAAATTTAATATTCTTCTTTCACTTATGTTACACAAACACATTAAATATTTGTAAATATATGCTTCCGTGCGCCATTTGCTTTTAAAAGGGCTCCATAGAATTTTCTTTGCATATTATTACATAGATTTATGACTATATTTTGCTGACCCGCCTTTTTCTTTATAGATATAAATCCACATAAGAAATTTATCATTATTATCTATATATATATATATATATATAAGAGATTTCCACGTATATAGTTACTCATCACGATATCTCTGGAACCATTAGAGCTAAAGACTTGAAATTTGGTAGGAATATTCTTTTCACCGAGTAGAGGTCAGCTAAGAACGGATTTTAAGAAATTCAACAATATATATATATATATATATATATAAATAGCAAAACACACACACTTTTTATATAAAATTGGACCATATCTTCAGTTTCTTTATAGCATAGGGCAAACAAGGGATTTCCTTAAACTGGTTCCCCGGCTACTAAAAAAGGGGGCAAACAAACACACGGGTCACCTGATGGTAAGTGACAACCGCCGCCCATGAACACCTGCAATTCGAGAGTCACAAGTGTGTTGGAAATCTTTGAGTCCTCCAATCAGGTGGGTTTGGGCTCCGGTAACCTCACTCGGTAAAAAGCAAAGAAAGAACTGGTTAAAATCGATTTTCTGTGACGCCGTGGTATTACTGAGGTCAAACCTGACCCATATGTAATAAAAAGTGTGTGTGTGCAATTCATACAGTGAAACTTCCGAAAAAAAAATCTAAACAAATAAATAAAATAAAGTGTGTAAGTCTTCGAATTGAGCGGGAATCGAATCCCCGACCTTTGGAATAGCAATCCGTTACAGAAACCACTACGCCATACGGTCGCGATGTGCCGAAACATGCCTCTCCCACGACAAAATATCAGTTTCTCATTATCAATATTGCTTTATATGGTCAATTTTCAGTATGAGCACTAACCATCCAACAGCTTCCCATGGTACACGGCCATGCCAGCCACTCTGCCAATGAACTTGAAATAGCTGAGATGCTCCTCGTTGCACAACCCGCTGTTGGGATTGATCTGGAGCGTGTAGTTGTCCATGGCAGAGTACTCGAACAGGCCGTAGTAAGGGTTGAACATCTCCTTGGATAGGAGGAAGAACCATTCTCGGGCCAAACCACCATAATCTGGAATAGAAAGAGTTTTTTTATGAGATTATCAAATAAAAGCGGAATCCTCACTAATAAAAGCTTTATTTATTACCTTTTAAGTTCTAACGACTTTTTAATTGAGAATGAGTTACACACACAAACAAAAAATAGTTTGGCCAACCTTAAATAAATGTATAAATATTGCCATATTCAAAAAGGTTATTTTCGGTTATTTTATTTTCAAATTACAAATAAATTATTCATCGTTAAAATATAATAATAGTAATAACGATAATTTCCTGAAACCTGATTGGTCAGGGGGCGGGACGAGATGAATCCGTCACTAATTTCTTATCGCGAATGGATTTTAGGCAGTTTTTACAGTTTTTAATATTTTCTTCAAATTTGCATAGGAAAAAACTTATTCAAAAATGACGGAGTTCTGAGACGACAAACATAAACAAAAGTCCAACCAAATTAATAATAATAATAATATTGTACCACATTCAAACAACGCCATCTAGTCCCAAACTAAGCAGAGCTTGTACTATAGGTACTAGACAACTGATATATATACATATATACTTTTTCTTGTAAATACATATATATTATACACAGAAACACCCAGACCAAATCAAACATTACATGTTTATGCCCACAATGACTTGATATCTTTGGCGTAGCAGTCCCGTTACACAAAACACTATGCCATAAGGGCGTCAATTGAAAAACTCTTCCTAATTTTAAAATATATCTTAATTATAAATATATATTGACTCACCAAGTCCAACTTCCGACTCGAACTCAACCCACAACTTCGTCTTGAGCAAGTCCAGTCTACTGACAGAACTGATGATGCGGTACGAATCTTCCAATATGGAGTTACGCCGCACTTTTATTTCGAATTTGTTTGGCACATTGCTCTGAAACAAAACTACTCTCTGTTATAATAGCGGTGATGCATTGGACCTGCGACGGAGGGGTTGCTGGTTCGAACCCCGCACATTACACAGTTTTTATTAACAAGAACCATTTGGCACAACAAGACCAAGAAGAAACTTGATCCATAATATCACATGCTTTAGGGTTCACTAGACTTAATATTAAGTTGTAAATATCTTGGGATATAAAAATTTTGAGAAACATACAGTGGGGATAAAATATTTTGCTCCATACCCTTCCCTTAAGTTCAACAATGGGCTTCATAATGTGAAAAATCGGGTTAGTTAATCAATTTTAAAGGAAAAGGTATCACAGTTAAGTTAGCTCTGTTAGCTTAGCCGTCCGAGTTATACATTGTATCTAGGTAACTGGGACTAATCCCACCCACACGCCCACCACTGTAACTCCTGTACACCAGGATCCACAGCAGTGACCCACGAACACACCGAGTTATGACACTCGGGAAGTCCCAGGAAGAAATTAAACTGTCTTGGAACCCGCAACGAAATTAATCAGAAGAAAATTGGAGGAGTTGGAAATACAGTAAATCCACTTCCCTCCTTAGCAAAGCGGGAGACAAAATGAAGTAAAATGGGCATACACCCTTTTAAACAGGGAAGCGCCACGGCCACAAATATTACGGGTCCTACGTGAGCTATGTTTGTATCTAGGTACTTGAATTTGTTACAATGTACAAAAATTTATTTAATTACACGACGGAACCCTACACCGCTTGTGGCTTGATTTTTGTTAGTATTTCCCGACAGAAAAAGGGTTGTTTTTCAAGTGTATGTAGGTATGTATGTGTGTTCATTTCTGTGGCACGGTCCGCTCTTAAACGGGTTAATGGATTTTGGCTTGACAGGTGTCGTTAGATTAGGAGATCTATAAGCCAGGGGAGGGGTACCAGGGCTTTCCTTCCTTGGGTATACCCGGTTCTATGGCTACTGATACCTGGAGATAACCACTTCACTGGTGGGTGATATGCGAGGGGAGTTCCGAACAGGAAAAAAAGGCGTCGCTAGATTCGTGTCAATTGTGTGATATGTCTGGGTTTTTTTGTTTTCTGAAGTAAAAGTTCTTTAAAATCGTTGTGATTTAAAACTCGATGAAACGAAAATGCGTCACAATAAAGAAACCAACACAAAAAATGTATAGGATTAAGTCGGCGAGAGAATGAGATAGAATACATTACACATTATTTTTAATATAATATTTTGACAGTGTCAATATTTTTATCTTTTCATTTAATACTAGCCGATAACCGCAAATTCATTCGCGTGGAATTTGAGAAACGCTGCCTTAGTTGGTTCAATTCCCGGGTCGGGCAAAAGTTTATAGGGTTTTTGGGAGATAAAGAAAAAAATAAGTCTAAGTTACTCCTTCTATAGACAGCTAACTGGTAGTAAAATATTATCAAAATCGGTCTAGTCGTTTAGAATATTACCCAGAACAAACAGACTACAGGTATCGCGCAAATAACCGTGCAAAAAAACTATTATTTTGACATTTCAAACAGATACTTCAACTTTATATATTTGTATAGAAAATATTTTATTTTGAAGTTTCACTTCTGCCGTGTTTTTTTTTTTTTTTAATAATTAGCTTATTTCATTACATTTGTATAACATACCGGTTTGCGAAGTTGACTCTTGAGGTATTCGTATTTGCGTTTATAATCGCGCGAGTAAGGCACCGCCGGCCCAGCGATCTGTGGGTTGGATAATCGCGGGTCCTCCCATTGTGTCGTGCGGGTGTCTGAAACAGATACATTATGTACACACCGTGTGACAGTCACACAGCTAAAACATTTCTAGGCGTGTTATAGATAGCACCAGGGACTTCCTTTCTAGGGTATACCTGGTTCCCCGGCTATTAGTACCCGAGACGGCGTGCGGTTTTAGTCGGTTCGAGTCCGACATGCCACCGATAGGTGGTAACCGAGGGGATTTCCGCAAAGAAAAAAAAAAAAAGGCGTCTTATAAATAGGGCCTCGTCCTAGACCTCCCCAGATTAGGGCGCCTGAGGCCGGGCCATCGGGGTGGTTTTTAGTGGAAACACCACATACTCCTGCGTCCCCAAGAAGCCGATTCCCACCCGAAGGGATTTTCTGACCAGTCTAGATAAAAATTGGTATTCATATTTTGTAATGATAAACAATTTTACTCAAGAATTTCAGTCGTTTTTTTCAGGATCTCCTGACGGTAAGTGGCCACCCCCGACCGTGAACCAAAACTCAAGAGACACAAGTGGTCGACCTTTAAGTCCCCTCTATTTCTATGTATTGAGATCCGACAACCTTTTTTTTTAAATAAAAACTTATTTAATTAATAGTCAAAATTCTAATCAAAGTATATGCTTGTGTTCTATCGTAATTTCTCATCATTTTTTAGTAAGGCAGGTTTGTAATGTATTTAAAAGCTATAATATCTGGTAAACCATTGAGAACTTTAGGTAGTATGTATCTACATGTTCTATTACCATACAAGTTGTTGAAACGAGGCTTACCATATCTCTTCGTGTTGGTAGCTAAGGTTAGGCATCCCCGAGAGACTCGCGTGAGTAAAACGGTTTATATTTAACTAGCTGTACTCTGCCACGCTTCGCAGTCTGTCGTACCAATCCAATACACTGTAAAACCCTATTAAAACCCTAATTTCAATACAATACAGTATTTTTTAGATTATTGTCTCTTCTAAAATACATTTAAGAATAACAAAAGTGTTGATCAGGGGTACTAGACCGACGTAAAGAAACTGATTTAGCGTTGTTAAGGCAAAATACTGTAAGTCGAGTTATAGTTAAACCGCCGTAAGCTTGGCCCTCCTGATGGTTTGGGGGACGCGGGGCGGGGGTGCATTCAACCAATTAGCTAGTGCGTCGCTGTCCGCCGGCAGTGACTGACGTGAAAGCATGGCTGTACGTGTTATTTTTCTTAAGACTGCTACACACGGTATTATTTTGCAACATGGATAATCTGCCGACTCTGCGTCACAAAAAGATTTAAAAAGTTGAAGGTCGGCTTACAGAGGTTCTACTGTTAAAGTTCTAATAAAGAATATTTATTATTTTACTTAATTTTTAAATTGTATCTGAATATAATTTACATGATGAAGAGAAGGTGATTTTATTAAAATTATTTTACAGTATTAAATTTTACAATTAATCATAAAAACTTACAATACACTGACTTTATATTACATGGAAATAAATTCGATTTTTATTACACCGTGTGTAGATTAAATCTCAAACAAATAAATCTGAAGATATCGAGTTAGTACATCGTGTCATGTATAGCCGAGCGCATCACTCGCCCCGCGTCCCGCAAACCGTCAGGAGGGTCAAGCTTACGGCGGTTTAACTATAGTCTTATGGATTGGCACAGCGCTGTAGTATTTGTGATTGTATTGATGAGAAATGACGTACAAAACCGACGCAAAAAATAGATAAAAACAATATTTAACGCGGTTTGTATATTGTGTCAAAATTTGAGCTCAGTCAGTGCAAAACTTTTTGAGTTTGTAATGCGTACCAGCTTAACATTTTGATATATATAATATTAATATGAATACCACACACGAAAATTGTATAACACTTATTGTATAACACACAGAAAAAAAAGTGTGTGTGTCAGCTCCAACGCACGTCAGGAGTTTACTCGTTAAGAACGATTCGGCAACACACAAGTTATCCAAAAAAAAAAACGCAAAAAACGTAACGAGGTCATTCGATCACTAAATTTTACTCATCATTTTTTTTCATAACGGGCGCCTTATATAAAAATCGATTCTTAAGGAGTAAACTTCAAAAAATACATCCAATATTAAGACGCGTTCATTTTTTGTTTGAGATAGAGGCCATTTTGCTTTTGAAAGTTATTTTAAAGAAGAACATTGTTTATTAACGTGATAAATATAATTATTCTGTACTCACTATGATCAATAAAGAAGATTCTGCCATCACTATGCACTCGCTCCTCCCACCCCTCAGGCAACGCTCCCAGTTCATCAGCTTCTACCCCTCCAGCAGTTGGACCGGTTGTGGGCAAACTAGATGCGCAACCTGCAAAGTACAATTTATTTTTTTGACAGTGACATTGACTGGCCTTTTCGCTTAGTTATTAGTAAGAATGATAGCTAAGCTTGAGGTAGTTGGTTCGATTCCCACCCAGTATAAATAATTATATGATGAGCAGGATCACTTGTTTGATGTCTGTTTGCTTGCTTGCTTGTACTATTGTAATCAGATTTCAGATTTATAAATATTACACTAATTAGAAAACATTTAGACGGGCCTGTTAGTCTAGTGGTAACTGACTCTGACTGCTCAGCCGGAGGTCGTGGGTTCGATTCCCAACCGCGTCAAATAAACGTAACCGATAGTAGTCCGACAACAATCTTTCTACAGAACTTCGATATCGCCTAGTACTTGGGTTATGGAGGTCTGTGTCAACCTAGTTTAGGAAAGGCTCGGAGGAAAAAGAATCGCCTTTATGTGGACCCAGTCACAATCGCTAATAACCTACACCAACTGGCCCGTCACATAGCACTTTTTTTTTTTAAAGACAACTCCCACATTAGGAAAATATCCTGTGTCGCGGAGGACTTTACAAACATACATGAAACGGACACAAAGTACACCCAGACTCAGAACAACAATTTGTGGATCACACAAAGTGTCGTCCCATGTGGGGTTTGAATCCACAACACTCGGCCATCCGTGCAGCTTTTTCTTCATTGTGATAAACTCACCAGTCCTGGGATCTATCCATGTAGTAGTTTTCTGGTTATGATCGATGAAGAAAATCCTGCCGTTGGGTGCTTTTTGCATACTCCAGCCAGGTGGTAGACCTGTAAAAAATGAATAGTTAAATTTGGTCTAGTCCAGACTCATAGTACTGTTCAGTGTGAAATTGCGAATGAATTGAATTTGTGGAATGTCAATACGTGGAATTAAAAAATATCTGGATACCGGCGGAAAGGATTTGGAAGGAGAAAAGAGAGAGGAAATATGATAAAGATGTGGGTTTAAAGAATGGAAAGGAAGAACAAGTCACTTCTGTACATATATTTTTTTATATGTTGACTGGGCATGGGGACGAGCAGACGGGTCACCTGAAAGTGACCATTGCCGACCATGAAAGTCTGCAACTCAGGGTTCACAAACGCGTTGCCGGCCTTTCAGGCTTTACGATCTTTTTTTGAAGGTTTGAAGATCGTATCGGTCCGGAAATACCGCAGACGATAACCCGTTCCACAGATTGGATGTGCGGGGCAAAAAGTGTCTCGAAAAGCGCACAATAGTATTATTATCATTATACGTGTTTGGAAGGATTTTTTGTATAATTATTATATATTATTAGATTATATTTTGGAGCAAAAATCGCACGCGCAAGATAAATGTCGTTATGGGAAATTTCCAGCATCTGCTCTGCTACTAACTGCCACAATTTCAATCGAACTCAAACCAGGAAGCTATAAAGGGGGAGATGTAGTCACGAAATGAGAATAAAGAAGAAAGCATGATATTGAGAATGAGAGAAAGAGAGATTGGTTAAGAAGACAACTGTTCTCACCAAAATCGTACAGATTTTTTATTAATTGTTACATACCATCACTATTGGGTAAGTTTTGACTCTGTGTACTGCTGGCGCTGCTGCTATGTGTACTCTCAGAAGAACCATCCGTCTCATCCTAACAACATAAAACACAAAGGATTGTCGACCATATACACAAACGGTAAAGACGTGTTTCGAACGTAGCCGTGTAATGCGTACTACCAAAACTTAAATTGTATGTCAGCAATTTCTGACATATTAAATTCTGTCAAGCTTGGGTATGCAAAAATAACATTAATTACAATCTCAATTAAAATACTCATGTTATTATACTAATTTAATATTAGGTTACAAATACATCGAAAAATGAATTGTCAGATTTTGATAGTACACTTACCTACGTATTTGTGCATTTAATGTATATATTTACATATAATGTTGCCCCTAGCAAAAAAAACTCCCCACACGTTGCCAAAAAGCCATAAGTATATTTAATACTTTTTTTCTTTGACTATTTTACTAAAAATAGTGTATAGTTTAAGCATTAAAGTTGCCGTTAAATTTGGGCTGTATTCGTATCATTCATAAATAAAATAGCATTTTAAATTATCATACTTACGATATAAAAGGGGAACAAAAAAAATATTTTCCCTGATAACACAAAAAATACAGTCCAAAAACCCAAAATGATTTAAATAAAGCATTCGATAATAATTTACTCTTCATTTAACTACTAATTATATCAAGCCTTAGAACACGTCTTAAAAATCATTCATTACAATCTACTTCTACAAAAATACACATCATTCTAACTACTATAAGTAATAAATACAAAATACCTTGAATATCAAAAATACACTAATTATTTAAGCGAACAGCACAAGCGGAACATGTAAATACTTTGTCAGATGAAAATGTCGAATAAATATAATGTCAGATGAATCTAATGTCAGATTATATAAAGCATTTGTTATTGTCGTATTAATAACATGATCACGTTTGTAAGTTGATTGTTATTGTGAACTGTGGGCGAGAACTCAACTCTGAAACAAAATATTTTATTTATCGAACAAATTTATAAAATAAAAACAAATCTCTTACAAGTCCACGGTTCACAAAGTTAATGTTTGCAACACAAGATAAATGAACATTTTATCGTTTTTTTTTTATTATATATTAATTTAAAAAATTAAAACCAACTTTCAATATATAAACACTATCTAAAACAATAAATTCGAAATAAATTTGAATAAATTCTGCCATTTATACAAATCTTGTGTTGCAAAACACTCCTAGCTATAATTACAAGTCATCAAACGATAGTTTCCGTGGAGTTAGTGACGTAAGCAGGACATCACATAGCAAGTTGTGCCTCACACTTACTCATAGACAATTTCCCAAAGCACGCCGCGGGCTCGGTGCGGGTACGATGCCTAGTGTATATTCTACTTTATTTCGAACATCATTGAGTACAAAATGGAATAACGTTCTCATTATTTAATTATGCACTTGCCAATCAATAGTAATTTACATTAAATGCTATCAAAGCATATTTTAAGTGTTTAACTTCACTCAGCCTTAGGGATAAGTGACACCTTACCTAAAAAAAAAAACTAGGAGCAAAACCATACGATAGCGATTATTGTGTTAAAATTTCAGACCATTACTGGCAAAGCCCCGAGCTTATGTACAAGTTCAGGAAGCCAATCCGCATTGGAAAACAGAACCTAAACCTTGTCACATTTGCTCGTGATACACTTTCAGTATTAGAAAACTTTTTTCTATTTATGATATATACAATGAACATCGCATCCCGTACCGGCCTATCGTCTCTTACCTCTGACTCATCCAAAGAACTAGCTGTGGTCCTCCGTCTCCTGGTCATCGGTGAACGATCAGGGGTTCCTGCCGTAGGCGTACTAAAATGATTCTCGTCAAACGTTAGGTCTTCAGTCACCAATTCTACGTTCCGAACTTCAACTATATTTGTTACTGGGACGACTTCATCATTTTCAGCAACAATAACATCATCCTCGGAAACATTTGAGTCATTCACAGGAACATTTGAACTTCTGGCTGTGTCACTTTCTATGCTTTCAGCAGCGTTTTCAATGTTTTCAGAATTATTTTCAGACGTTGCTACAGTTTCATTTGTAGTAGTCGTCTCACTGTCTGTGACAGTGTTTATTACATTTGATTCTGCCGTATTACTATTGGCAATCCCATCGTCTGGTATTGTCACTTCATTAGTATTGTCAGTAGCTTCGCTATCTTCATTCGTTATCTCAGTTTGTTCATCATTTTCATTAGTTAGACTAGTATTCGCGTCATTCCGACCGCCATTTTCATTGTCATTCTGAACGTCATGAAGTTGATTGGCGCATACAACATCATCCTCTTCCTGTGGAGTCTTGTTTCTTAAATTATTATCACAGTCGGTTTCATCACTAATACTATATGACGGTGCTTCCCCTGGATCTGGGATTTGTACCGGTGCCGGCGACCGGATCGGTGTTGAAAACGGCGTGGGTTCCGTCGAGTTAGTTTCACCACTTCTATTGCTTATATTGTCCTGTTAGACATTGACATTTGATAATGACGCACAAACTTATTCGTGCAGTACTCGTATAAATATTTGAACCAACTTTATTAACTTTGCACTGCAGAAATAAGTTTATGGTGTGTACAGAATATGTCCCAAATAAAGAGGTGTAAGCGCAAGTGTCATGTGCTGCAGGATTGTCTATGAAAGTGAGGACAACACAGTGGATGCCTATGGCAACACCCGGGTACCGATGAGCGCAGACAAGTAAGTGATTCGTTTGTGTGTGTAAATCTGAAATATTGCTGAAAGATCTTTACAAAAGTAAAGAAAAATACTAAAATTATAACAAAGACCTTAATTTTAATTACACATATATATGTCATTTTGATAAAACCTTTCAGAAAACAAGGCTAATGTCAGGCACTATGTACTCATTTTTTTTATACAATTTTATAAAAATCTACGTCTTTATAAATATTTTATAACCACATCCTATACACGAAGACATACTATTTAAAACATTTATTCTGACGTTTTGTTGTACATTAAAGAGGTTTGTTATCACAAGTGAGTAACCCTTGCTACTCCACAGTTCCAACCTTATTTCCCTGTTTTTTGAACAGGATTTCTACAAGAAAACGTAGGAGTAACAAAAGTCATTTAATTAAATACTGAAATGAGGATGAAATGTAAAAATTTGTGCAGAAAGCATACATTTTAACATGCAACATTGTTTGATAAAAGATCTTCAAATTTGAATTAATACTCGTATGCAATTGGTGAGTACATTATAACAATAAACGCGATTTAAATGCAAACAAATATAAATTAAAAATGAGTACACAGCTAGAAGAGGATTTCTAGAAATCTGAATAATTTTAATGTGAACATAAATCTACATGTAAAATTTCATTTTAGGCTTTGATATTACAATTTGTGGACTTAACCGCAGTGATATCGGAAACGTGTTGTGTGAAAATGTACCAATCCACAAACGGGCTAAAATTGACTTGACGCTAAACTTTACTTAAAAACAAAGATTCATTTCCATATTTTTTTTTACACCTTTTAATTGTAATTATTAAAAAAAACTTTTTGGTTTGGAAGTAGTATCCGGAAAAAACGCAGACTATGAATATGTTAGACCAGAAATTTAAAAATACGAAACAATGGCAAGTACCAATTATCCAAAGAATCTTTATGATGGTGACAAATTTTGCTGCTGGAAAGTCTCACAACAGTCCACATCTCATATGGGACTGTTAAAGGACATCTACGGCATACAGAAATGGCAATTGAATTTAAAAGAAAGAAAACTCGTTGGCCTATATTAATCAAACATCATTTGACGATCTGATGGCGTAGTGGTTTGTGTAACGGACTGCTATTCGAAAGGTCGCGGGTTCGATTCCCGCTCAAGTCAAACATTTGTGTGCATGAAAATTTAATGTTTGAATTGGTCTGGGTGTTACGATGTATAATAAGTATGTATTTACAAAAAAAATGTATATATGTATTTATATCAGTTGTCTAGTACCTACAGTACAAGCTCTGCTTAGTTTGGGACTAGATGGCGATGTGTGAATGTGGTACAATATTATTATATTATCATCGTAAACCGCCTTTAATAGTCTACTGCTGGACATAGGCCTCTCCTTAGAAACGAGGTTTTGACCTACTGCACCACGCTGGCCAGACGGGTTGCTACAGGGTTTATTTCAAGTTTTCGGGTCTTACGATACCCACGGGATGACACTCCGTATTCTTAATCCCTCACCATACGGACAGACATTAATCCAACTTTAATAATAAACTACAAATATCCAAATATTTTAATTTTATCTGAAAATGATCCTATCCAATACAATCACGACACTGCACATGGGACGATACTTTGTGTGATCCAGAAATTGTTGTTCTGAGTCTGGGTGTTCTTTGTGTCCATTTCATGTATGTTTGTAAAGTCCCCGCGTCACAGGATATATTCCTAATGCGGGAGTTGTCTTTTTTAAAATAAAAATAAATCAATAATTTACCCAGCAGCGGCTCTGATAAAATATTCCACAATGTTGATTGGTGTTTTTTAATGCTTCAATTTAATTTTAGATGTTTCAAGTCGTTGCCCACCTTTGACTGCTTACTAGACATGTGACAAAATCACAGTAAACTGTGATTTATTATTCGATTTTTGCGTACGTAGGTTAGGGTTGCTAGGTAGGTAGGTTAGACGCTATTTAACAATAAATCTAGTAATTTTTAAATTACTAGATTTACTGTAAAATTATTAAAAAAGATACTAGATTTACCGATGAATAGACGAAATAGGGTCTTTATGCATTGTCTGAAAACAGCTTGGCAACAACGGTAAGTAAGTAGTAACCCTAACGTACGTTGCGAAAAAAATAAATGATAAATCAACGGTCATTCACAGTTCACTGTGATTTTGTCCCATTTATAGTGCCCACCTCAGAGTTATGGGAATTCGCCCTTCCAACCTCAATCACTCCGAGAAAAGCAACAAGAGAACTGCTCAACACCGGATTCCCGTAAAGCCTCTCCCACGAGGGCGTTTACACTAACTTAAAACTTCACACAGTCCATCAAGAAAAACATTAGCGCGATTGAGTCCACAATTACAATTTGGAAACCAAAAATCCATTTTAAAATCATCTTTAGTTAACAAAAATATTTTCTATGAGAAGACGAATAAAAATTCAAATTTCCAGAGTTAGAACAAATAAATGTATGTATTGTTAGTACTGTAAAGTTACACGCTTTAAGCCCATGCTGCGGTAAGAAAATTATCTTCTAAGACGGTAGTTGGCTAACTCATCATCTTGACAAAAGAAATTAACAATACACTTCTACACATGCAAACACATCTAAATTCCCTTATATATTGCCGAAATAAGTCGATAACTTTTAATTAAATAACAGAAAAATAAAAATACTAGTTGTACCCTGCCACGCTTTGCTGTGGCACATTGTGGCTGCATTGAAGAGAAATGAAGAACAAAACTGACGAGAAGATAAAAAAATATTTGAAGCGGGTTGTATGTCGTGTCAAAGTTTGAGCTCAACTGGTGAAGAACTTTTTACGTTTTCGAAGCGTACACAAATCGACATAACATTTTTATATAATTATATATAGATAGATTATTACGGGCATTAACACGATCAATAGGTATTATACCTAAAAACTTTGTTAAACCGATTTGGATTTTTTTTCTATATTTTTTTTATGTCAGAGGGGGCAGACTAGCAGACGGGTCACCTGATGGAAAGTGACCATCGCCGCACATCATCGGCACAAACGCGTTGCAAGCCTTTTAGGAAGGAGTACGCTCTTTTCTTGAAGGTTTGAAGGTCGTATCGGTCCGGAAATACCGCAGACGATAACCCGTTCCACAGATTGGTTGTGCAGGGAATTATTATTTTACTTCCCTTTATTCTAATTAAAATTGGAAGAAGAATCTCTCGCCAAAAGGGGGGGAAATTAAGGAATGAAGATAACAGCTTGCCACGATATAGACGCTTTGAAGTCGGTGATACTTTTTTTTTAAATATACTAACCAGTTGTGATGTAAGTAAACAAGACATGCTTGGTAACCCATTATTGACACAATCATGTTATTTCCTCGTAAATCCAAAGGTCCTATGGATTTGTCTAACTAGTCTTAAAAGTACTTATTTAAGCATGCATGCAATATAACTAGACCTTCTGCAAAACTCCGTGGAGGTTACTACACAATAGAAAAAAGGAATACTTTTTCTTATGCCAAAGGGGGCAGACGAGCAGAAGGGTCACCTGAGGGCCGAGTGCAAGTTTATTTGACATCGACTCGCTCTCGACGTCGAGCGCGTTTAGCGTTGTGATTGGTGGAGATTTCAGCGCGGGCCAATCGTAGCGCCGAACGCGGTCACCGTGACGATCGAGTAGAAGTGAAACAAACTCGCACTAGGCCCTCTGATGGAAAGTGACTATCGACGTCTTTTAAGAGTAAAGTGAATTAGGTTTACGACCCGTATAAAATATAATGTAACTCCGTCGATATTATTATGTTAGTACAAAATATACGTTCAAAAAACATGCTCTTTGAAATAAACAACTTCTTTCGGCAATAACCTATTCCCCTTGTTTCTCTACCACGCACAATCCCATAGACAATCTGAATTGTCATCATGTCATAAACAAAAACAAACAAAAAAAAAACAGAAATGGACCATGAAGGAAGAATATATTTTAATATTACCTACTCGTTTTGAGGGTAACACGGAATAGTGATGTAAATTCGTTTCAAAACAATATTCAAAAAATTATAATTTATAATTCTTTAACTGATTTCTAAAAGTGTTGTGTCCGTTTCATGTATGTTTGTAAAGTCCCCCGCGACACAGGATATATTCCTAATGCGAGAGTTGTCTTTTTAACAAAAAATAAAGGACTAGTTTGGTTTTAAATTACTTTGCCTAAATCATTAAATGTAACAGCTTAAAATACATTTAATTACAACATTAAATATAAATGATTTGACAATATGTAGATGTGACGTCACGGAACACAATTACATACAAAAATTCTGCGATTTGACGTTTAATAAAAAGAGGTTTAACATAAGTTAGTTAGTTGTACTTAACATGTAAAATAAATAAAAATTAATAAAAAAAAAATCCAATACGAATTTGCATCACTTTTCCATTATACTCGTAATCATTAACATTATAACATTACACTTACAGTATGTTTATAGATTTTATTCCAAAACGCAAACAAAATGGGATCACCATTGTCCGCAACGGTGTTTAAGCATTAACCAGATAGATAAGCTTTGATCAAATAGAACAGGACAACTATACATTACTAATAAGACAAATATATAAAAAAAACTTAATTTAAATAAAGAACATAGCAAATTTGACAGTTTTCAAAAATAAGATTATATAAGTACAGTACAGTACAGTTTAAATGTACCTAGACACATTTCAAACACGGTCTGATCCTAAACTAGGCTGGGTCAATGGTCAAGGGAATTATTGTCACTTGCCATCAAAATCAATCAAAACGACCTTTTTTTAGATTGGCGTCTGACGCTAGCGTAAAAATAATAATTAGTCGCAGTGATGTTGTAGATGAGTCACAGGAGTGATGATATGATTCTAAAATCTTATGATTCATCACATGTGATTGTGATTTTATCCGATGCCAAGTCAGTGCTATAACCCAGACTGCTGATAAACATAATTATGTAGGTATTTATATATGAAATATTTCTGTAACTTTATTAATTAATTTTTAAAAACATAAATTACACTGATTGATTCCTAGTAAAAGTAAATTCTCTATAATTAAAGAACCAATATTATTGTTCTTTACATATTAAATAACCCATTAATATATTAATTTAAATATATACATATATTATACAGCTTAAGAGTTATTTTTGTTTAATTGAACGCGCCAATCTCAGACACTACTGGTTCGAATTGAAAAAATATTTAGGGATAGCCCATTTGCATGCAAGGTTTATTTCAAAGTCTTATTTAACTATAAATTTCTTGGGAAATTTGAATTATTTATTTTATTCACTGGCAACTATTCTATTCCTAAACATAAGTATTTATGGCCATACAGAATTAGTCACGAGGCAAAGACAATTTATTTATTTCTTCTGGTAGCTACTTCTCAGCTTGATTGTTATCAATGATTTCATAAATTCATTTATTTTAAACTGGTCATGTCTTATTAGCAATGTCTAGTCGTCCCGGCCCCTGATGAGCACCCGCCTGCAGCAAAACGAGTTACGATTCCATACCTGATGATTCTGTGAGGATGCGGGGCTGGAGGCGTGCTCTTCATCAGCGGAAATGTGGAACCGGCGCTGGAACTCCGTCACGGCCGTTTCCATCCGCTCGGCTTGGGACTCGGTACTTTGCATACGACTGTAGACCGAACGAATAAAACATTAAAAGAAAATAAGAAATGAATTATCTATTTTAGCTAATTGTAGAATATTTTAATTAGTTGTATTGAGTAAAAATTGGTTTTAAGATGTAAAGCAAACATGAGCTTCAATTTTATTTTTAAAGACAGCTCCCGACTTTACAGACACATGAATCGGACGCAAAGAACACTCAGACTCAGAACTACAATTTATGGATCACACAAAGTATTGTCCCATGTGGGGATCGAACCCACAACTCTCTGAGCTGTAGAGTGGCGACGAGGCTTAAACCACTACGACACCCGTGCAGTAATTATTTATATAATATCACAAACACTACAATATGTTACAGAAAAACAAAACTCACGTAAACGTGGGCCTCTCCCATTGTGTGGATCTTTCGATGTGATTGACATAGTATGTTCTTCCGTTCGCGTCTTGTCTCTCCTCCCAGCCGGGCGGGAGAGCATCCCCTCCGATAGTCTGGAACAATACACAAACAAGAAGACTATTAGGACTTAAAACAAGTCTTGATGGTAATCCTATTAAGAGTAACATTTTGCTATTAACATTATGCTTGTTATTGGAACGATTGCCCTTAGAGTCCCTCCCGCTGACTCGAGCGGGAGGGACTCCAAGGACAGCAACGCGCTTGTGACCTTTGGGTTGCAGGTGTCCATGGGCGGTGGTAGTTGCTTGCCATCGGGTGACCCGTCTACTCGCCCTCTTATACCATAAAAAGAAAACAAAAGAAACGAAATTCCCTATCGCATGTGAAGAAGTGTGAGACTTTTTCCCGACACTTCAGTTGGCGCGTCAACGCTCACATCTTTCTCATATTTCATCTATATATAGCAAACGTCTACCAAAAGGCGAAAGGAACTTAGTTCCGACCGACCATAAACCCTTCACGTTGGGCATTTTTGAACAACAAATAAAATAATGTATTTTCTGGGGAAAACCGTTGAACTCGCGACACTGTTCTGATACCGACACCGACACCTCTGTTAAAGGAAAAACTTCTTTAAGCGCGTTGGGCATTTTTCAGATGGGAAAAAACAATTAAACTCGCGACACTGTTACCGTTACCGACACCTCTGTATAGTTTTTACTTCTGTCGGCACTCCCAGAGTGCCTCTGTTTTTTTTTCACCGAGGAATTGAGTTTACCACAGAACCAAACAATCCCTCCCCCTAATTCCGGGGAAGGGACTCAACGCAATTTTAGTTGCTGGTGTCCATGGTGATGCTGAGTGACTTTGCTGAGTGAGCCTTTTTTTGTTAACGGGGTGGAAGATCCTTATGGATGTACTTCGCCCATTTAGGGATGGCGAAGGGGGTCTGTCGGACTGTTATCGACTAAAAACCACCCCGGTGTTCCTCTCCTTGCCAAGGGTCGGGGGAGCGAGAATCGCAATTGCATTCTTCCGTAGTGACCCACCTGTTCTTATGCTCCCTATTCCATAAAATAAAAATAAATGCATGTCGGACACGAACTGACTAAAAACGCACGCCGTCTCGGGTACTAATAGCCGGGGAACCAGGTATACACGACCCCCCCCCCCCCCGTGTGTGTGTGACACCTAACCTAAATTTTAAAATTTATGCACATACCTGTCCATCAGCTGACATTGCACGCACTTGCCCTGCTTTAAATAAAACTGATGATGTCAAATGTTTAGGTATCACGATTGACACAAATTTAAATTTTCGCAAACACAGAGTTTTTATGTATGAGAGTACGCACTCATTTTTTTTTTTAAACTTAAGCAGTATTGCAGATTGTTATGTAATAAAACAGACATATTTGGCTTTGTGTCAGTCGATATTAACATATTGCATAACTTCGTGGGGTGGCGCTGTTAAGACCATTTTACTACCACTTGAACGTGCTTAAAGAGCAATACTAAAGGTAGCTACCTGTCGCCCATTTAGGTTCCCTACTCATCAACTCTATCTGGAATTCAAAGTATTAACAGTTCGACAGTTATTTATATTGCACATCATACTTAAACAACACGCGGAACTTACACTTAATCCTATGTTCTTAGACAATACAAGGAACGACATTGTATGTGTTAAACCAAAAACAACAAATTCGTACGTTAACAAATTTTATGCCTTCTTAGCACCATATCTATATAATAAGATAAACAAAGTTTTGTATATATTTAAAATATATCGTATACAAAGTGTCAAACTCTAGTAGGAAAATATTTAGGTAAGCTTAATTACGCAGACACAGAAAACATCTTACGAATTTTAAAATGATATAATTGTAACTACAGTTAGGTTATTAAACAACAAGTAATATATATTTGTGTATACAGACCAGTCTGAAGTAATTTACATCATCAATCTATTGAGACTTTAATATATGAACGTCCTGTAACATAGTCAAGCGACTGCCTGAAGCACAGGTCTCACACCTAGCTCAGGCCGTTTGCAAAAGAATGTTTAATATTTTGTTTTTACCTCTTTATATTAAATCTTGCACATTTTAGAATAGTCATTTACTAGTTTTATGTTAGCTTTAGGAACAAACTTTATATAAGAATCTAATGACAATAGGATGAAAATCACATACAAAATGAAACCAAGACTTTATTCTGATCCTGCAATTTTTTTTTAAAACACCATCTTGTTTCAAACTAACCAGAGCTTGTACTATAAAAGCTAGATTACTTACTTTATTTGTAAATACATACATATTTTACACAGATAATATTTAAAAAATATACATATTTAGAAGAATATCCTAGAGGTTATAGCTTTTATTTATAGATATATTAGAGAAATAGAGTTTGACGACCGAATGGCGTAGTGGTTTGTGTAACGGACTGCTATGCCAAAAGTCGCGGGTTCGATTCTCGCTCAAATCAAATATTTGTGTGCATGAACATTTAATGTTTAATTTGGTGTGGGTGTTTCCATGTATAATATGAATGTATTTAAAAAAAATAAAACATATCAGTTGTCTAGTACCCATGGTGTACCATGGGTACTAGACAACTGATATGTTTTATTTTTTTTATACCCGCCTAGTCCCAAACTAAGCAAAGCCTGTAGGCTTTGCTTAGTTTGGGACTAGACGGCGTTGTGTGACTGTGTTAGAATATTATTACGAGGGAGGGAGGTCACGGCACAATGCCACCTCTGCGGGTGCGACCGGGACTCTGCCCAGCATCGAATCTTGGTCGGACAGATCGGACGAAACCTGTCACCGCGTTACAATGGACAACATAAAATACACCATAAATACAACATAAAATCTGTATGTTATGGTACTCCTTATACTGAGACAGCGAAAGGAACGCGGCAGAGGTCGCTAGTTCCCCATTTTGCATCGGACACCACTTGGGGCCATGTGTCCGCTGCACAGACGACCCGAAACAGATAACACTCCGATGCGGCGGGGGGGTGTCGTGCATGGCGGGGCGCTATTGCGCCTCTTACTGTGTAAAGCAGTGAGAGGCGCAGTAGCGTCCCGCCCCAGGGTGACTACGGTCACCCTGGGATATGCCTTAGACATGGGGTACGGCAGGGAGGACTCCAGAAGCCGCTGATGCTTTCCTGGAGCTCCTTCCGACTAGCGAGGTAGGCCGCCACGGGGTTAAGTGGGTGGACCGGTTCTCCGGGAGTCCCACATACGCCCCAGGGTATGGTGCGAAAAGCATTCCCCGCGAGGGGAAAAATTCTCTCATTTTTGTGTACAACTCTTTTAGGAGATACCATGCAGTTCTCGAAAGGAGCTTCTTTGTACTATGACACCAAGAAATTATACAAAGAATCTACAACGCGGTTACTGGTCTCTAACTATGCAATGACATGCATGTAAGCGTTGATAGCTTAAAGCTTATCTATCATAATTTGTGACCCTTTATAAAAATACCCATGAAGAGGCAAAACATGCGTCGAAAATAACACGCCAGTGAAAATTGACATCATTAGTGCGTACAAACCGAAAATAACTTATAGAGTTTCGTCTCCAGTTTCTACAGCTAAAGCCAGACTCATGCGCATACGAAAGCAATTTACAAACAAAATAAAAAATTAAAACACATACAAAACGAGGAACATGCGCAGCATCAACCAGCTCCCAATCATCACCGGTGAAGGATGCGACCGTCGATGACACTGATACCTACACCAGCCAAGCACTTAACTAACTAAATACAGCACAGTGCAGTCGAGTTTCTTAAGCGATAACGATAGCTCAAAAACCACGTGACCTTACTGATATAGATTGTTCTAGAAAGTTCTTTGCTGAAATAACTCTTGAACGTGTAAGCACAGTATCTATATCAGCACTAGGTAACTTGGTTAAAGGATGAGAAGTATATTTCAACAGGTTTAGGTTTTTAATGATATTGAGGGGCAAATAAGCATCATCATTAACAGCCTTTACTAGTCACGGATTAAGAATACAGAGTGTCACCACCCCTGTTCATCCCGTGGGTGTCGTAAGAGCCGACTAAGTGAGCAAACTACGCAGGACAACAGCACTGCAAAGAGAAGGAAAACTTGAAACAAATTTTATACCAACCTGCCTGGTCAGCGTGGTATAATAGCCCAACACCTCATTTCTAAGGAGAGCCATATGTCCAGCAGTAGACTATTAAAGGCTGTTGATGATGATGATATTATGCAAGACGAATCTTCTAAAGATAAGTCAAGATACACACAAAGCTATTCTACGTTATATGCACGTTCTGGCAGATACCTGTTATATGATACCTCTCAATTCACGAAATTTGTATCAAATTACTCCATTGTAACGCAAAGGTTTGTGCGGATGGATGTTTGTTATTATATTACGCCAAAACGGCTAATCAGTTCTTGATGACAATTGGCTCAGGGATAGTTTATAGAATAGCACGTAGGCTACTTTTTATCATGAAAAATTTGATTGACAAATAGATATTAACACGAGTTAGGCTGTGTTTAAAAGCTAGTGTCTAAAAATATTGCACATTGCCAACCAAAACCAAACTTAGTGTACGGTGCCATAAAGTTTGAATTCTTAAATAATAAATGATGAAAATGCATACACAGGGACATTCTGGTCAATGCAAACCAGTATATTCATGCAAACATACATTTTTACTGAATGGGATTCGAACCCAACAACTCTGGCATATATCATTAATGTGACAAAAGTTCATCCCCCAAAACCGCCATAAAACACGCCACCTCTGCAAGTTCTCTTTCTTTTTGAAGACCTATCTCCGATTTGTTCTTTTTTTAAATCAATCTTTACAGTACTAAAAGGCTTACCGGTTGAACAGTCCCCACTTGTGGTGCTGGTTCCACCATCTCCCACTCCTCATTGGGCGCTGGCTCATCCGTCTCCCCGACCCGCCCGACCAGCGCGTGGTACACCTCGATGTGGCCGCGGACCCGAGATCGAGCACTACGTCATAGAAACACAAGTTAGACTTACTCAGGTTCAAAAGGGCTCATCATCATACTATTACTCCTTAACACGACATCCAACAAAAACAACACTGACAAAAGCAGTTTTAAACTATCTTCAACTGTATTTTTTTTGAACTGGTATATCGGAATTGAACCGGCCAAAACCACGTGTTACGTCACGTGTGAATCCATTGTAAGGCAGAACCCCGGCAGACCTTCGCTGCCATAACTTTAAACAGTCTTGAACATCATAAAATAATATTATAAATTAGGATCTTAATTCAGTTGCATTTTTTTTGTTTGTTACCTCAAAACACGAACCATATAATACCCGTTTGGTCCCATTTAAATTTGAAGAAAAAATACAAAGGAATGAAGAATACAAAGGGCCTAGTGTGTGTTTAGTTCACATCAACTCGATCAATTACCTAATTACCTGCTTACAAAACACAAACAACAATTACCTAATTATTTATTAACTAACTATATCTGGCGTTTAAAAAGAATGTCCGTCAGTTTGATTGCTCTGATATCTCTCTCACAATCAACCAATTAACCATTTGGAAAAGAGCGATTAGAGATGTACACTTAACTTTACTAGCTGACCCGGCAAACGTTGTTTTGACATATAGATTATTTCTAGGAAATATTAGAAAAAGAAAATTAGGGGTGGGTCACCCTTACCATTTAGGGGTATGAAAAATAGATGTTGGCCGATTCTCAGACCTACCCGATGTGCACACAAAATTTCATTAAAATCGGTCCAGCCGTTTCGGAGGAGTACGGTAACTAACATTGTGACATGAGAATTTTATATTTAAGATAATTGAAAAACATTTATTTTTAAATAACTTTTATTACAAAAAGATATTGACTTTAAATTTGAGTGAGTGTATTTAGTGTTTTGTGTACAATGCTTAGTTTATGTCTATATGCAAAGCTAATGTGTTTATCATAATTGACTATGGAATAACATGGAAACGCTAAGAGATGACCAGCTTAATACCAGTGACAGATTTATGTAGATCTGATTATACTGAGAGCATTGTCATGATATATTGAAACAAATTTAATTCAGATTTACGTTCAGTAAAAAATTTCATCACTTTTGTAGCAATTATAATTATTACTAATAATTCCCTAAGCGACTACAATCTCAGTCCACCACCACCCCTATTCAGCCAGTGGGTGTCGTAAGCGGGAGCAAACTCTGCAGGACAACAGCACTGCAAAGAGAAGGAAAACTTGAAACAAACTCTATACCAACCCGTTTGGCCAGCGTGGTGTAGTGGGCCAATACATCCTTTCTAAGAAGAGGCCTATGTCCAACAGTGAACTATCAAAGGCTGTTGATGATGATGACTTCTATATCACCATCACGAATCAAAAGTTTATACATATAGGGTGTAAACATAAACCAAAATAGCACAGTGTAATGGACTTATTTAAAACAAAGACTAAAAATTATCGCTCAATTTACTAATAATTCGGCTTTGGAGCCTTTTACACACCAAATACAAAACAAAAACTATTATACAGAGCTGTTTTTACCACTTATAACACTAACACACACAAACACAAGGAATTTAATCTAGTGGGCTTTAATACTGACGGGTAAAAATATGATAAAGGTTGTAAATTGCGTTGTAACATGTACTATACAATACACAAATTTATATAGAGTTGATCAAACTACTCACACATTGAGGATCAAGCACACACTCAACTAATTCAGGGGAGAAAGAAACAACATCAATAAATCTCGGTGTAAAGCAGCAACATTAACGATTGTGTTAGGATTCCACAATAACACAAAATGCAAGGTTTAATTAGATTACCCAAAAGCAAAAATACCCTGTTATAATTCGAAATTTTAACGACTTACAAGAGTATTTTGAACAGTCATATCCACTCTGATTCAAAATATATTGAACGTCAAACAGTTCAAAGATTAATTTGCCTTTAATGCAATCGTAAATTTAAGTTTATTTCTATTCTATTAAAGTACAATTTTGTTTTTCTTGTGTATTATTAAATAGACGAAAGAAATGTTCAGGTTCGATTTGTCAGCTAACCCCAAATCGGAAAATTAAAACTCTCTCAATAACATTTCCTATGGCATAAATCGGATGAAAGATATAAACACAGAACATACCCACACAACATTTAACCTTTGAACACGGTCACTGTGACCAGTGTTCAATGGGTCATACACAGAAGAGAAAAATAAAAATTATACCTGGGAGAGCCGGCAGCTAAATAATAAGGATGATGGAAGCTGTTTGTAATATCTCCATTAAATATATTGAGGTAAAAACATTACAAAAATTAATTCCCCACAGCTCTGTTCCTCATTTAGCACCAATGCAAGTAAAATCTGCCACAGTTAAGCGTGGTACAGGGTACAGCTGGTGTGTTATAATTTCTTAAAATCAACAAATTCCTTCAGTTTAATACTGCCTTTTTTTTAAACCTTATAACATCCTTCATCAACTGTTGAAGCGACCTACCGCGTCAGTATTAACCATATCTTAAAAACACAACATGTCATAAATGTAATCGATTTTAACAGCCTAAATCATCCTCATTTCATCAAAAAAAATAATTAGAAAAAATAAAAAGCACACAACATGCTTAGTATATTACTTACACAGACCTGCGCGGACGCAAGGGGTACTTAACGACGTTGGGACGGGGGCTCGCCGCCGACTCGGTCATCATGGTAGCAAGGGGAATCTCGACCATGCCTAAGAAGTCGTCCCGAGTGAGACGATTCTCGTCGAACACTTGTATGAGGAGTTTATGCTCTTGAGGTTTAACCTGCAAAGATAATATAAAAGACTAATGTATTTTCTTCTAGTCTTTGCCCGGGGTTCCGCCCGGTTAGCCTATCGGTTATCATCTCTGTGACTCGCTGAGAACGTAGCTTTCCATTGGTGAAAGATTTTTCAAAATCGGTACAGTGGTTTAGGCGTGAAAGTTTAACAAACAAACTCACTTTCACATATGGGGGGCACACGAGCAAGCGAGTCACTTGATGGTAATTGACTGAAGTCCTGAGCATCCTGCACCTCGTAAGAAACAAGTGTTAAATGTTCTTCTCTCTTTTCTTAAATGTTCTAAGGTCATATTTATTATTATCGTTATATGTGTAATCGCGAATACCTACGTAAAAATACATCAATCATCAGTATATAATATAGACTCACGGTTTACAATTCTTGGCGGGCATTGACCTAGTCGTTAGCGATTCATACCGCCGGCGGTCGTAGGTTCGATTCCCACCGAGGACAAATCATTGTGTAATAAACACGATCATTTGTGAAATATATAAGTGTGTTTATCAGCAGTCTGGCTACCTTATCAGTAGTGTTGGATCAGACTGCCGTGTGTGAGATGTGTGATGTTATTATAAAACTCACCCGAAATACAAACTCCTGATTCCATGTCGGGTTCAACGTCTGAAAAACAAACAATAAAAAAATTAATAAAAAAATTAGACCTTGCACCTACCGACTATTACTTTTTCCAAAATTTAGACAACTTTTTAGTGGGTGAAAAATTAAATTCCCGAGAGGCAGTACAAAATGCCTTTGAAGAGTTTGTTGCCTCCCGTCCAGCTGATTTTTACAAGAAGGGCATCAATAAACTGCCAATGCGTTGGCAAAGATGCGTCGATTGCATGGGTGATAACTTCGAATGACAGAAATAAAAAAGTTTGAAAAAATAAGTACTTTCACTTATTGCATACAAAACTGCAATTTCATAGGTAAAGACCTAATATATATTTCGTAGCACATTCCTTGTCTATCGAGTGAACATTTTATATCTTTATTTTACACTAGCTGACCCGCGCAACTTCGTCTGCGTCTCTCAATAGTAATAATTTTTTTCCGTTTTTGAAACATTCTTCATTGGTGCTCCGCTCCTATTGACCTTAGCGTGATGATATATAGCCTATAGCCTTCCTCGATAAATGGGCTATCTAACACTGAAAGAATTTTTCAAATCGGACCAGTAGTTCCTGAGTTTAGCGCGTTCAAACAAACAAACAAACTCTTCAGCTTTATAATATTAGTATAGATATCATATCAATTGAATGATAGGTTCTCTACTGAACATAATATAATGTATTGATAATGAGAGTCCTTATCTTTTTTTCACGTAAGGTACCTCACGGCGCGACATTGAACTATTGAACACTACATTTCACAATCTAACTCATCAGCAGTATTGAATTAAAGTATCGTACTCCTATAAGTATCGAGTGGAGGACGCCCACAGGTCAGGTGGAGTGACGATCTGCGTAGAAAGCTGTGTCTGTGCGTTGTCCAGCAGTGGACTGCGATAGGCTGATGATGATGATATAACGGGGTCATCAACTAGCGGACCGTGGTCCGGATTCGGACCGCCGACCTAGTTTGTGCAGACCCAGAAGGATTTAAGAATATCAATATTTTCCGAAGATTAGAAGATTTTCCGTGTGGTGTGTGGATAAAGAATACAGAATGACACAACCCCTACTCATCCCGTGGGTGTCGTAAGAGCTGACTAAGGGAACAAACGACGCAGGACAAAAGCACTACTCCGGTACGGCCGGGGGTGTCGTCCAAGGCGGGGCGCTATTACGCCTCTTACTGTGTAGAACACTGAGAGGCGCGGCAGAGACCCGCCCCAGGGTGACTACGGTCACCCCGGGATGTGCCTCAGACATAGGATACGGAAGGAAGGACTCCAGAAGCCGCCGACTGCCGAATTAGGCCGCCGCGGGGTTTAGTGGGTAGACTAGTTCTCCGTGGGACCACACATCCTGCGTTTCTCCAACGGAGGGTATGGTGCGAAAAGCATTCCCCGCAAAAAAAAAAGGACAACAATATTGCAAAGAGAAGGAAAACTTGAAACAAACCCTATGCAAACCTGTTGGATCAGCGCATGGTATAGTACGCTAAAACATCCTTTCTAAGAAGAGGTCATGTCCAGTAGTGGACAATTTATGGCTGTTCAAGAATATAATTATCACCAGGATTTAATGGGACCCACATTGAAACTTTAACTATTCCGTCATCGTTCAAAATACAAAAAAGATACATATTAGATATGAGACAATATAGATACGAGTGTGTTTTTACTTTCATATTATCAGCGTCATAATAATAAATTATTCAGAAAATAAACAAAAACAACTTTGCCGGGGCCCACCTCCCAAATGTTGAGAATGCATCTAAATATTTTCTGTGGTGAAGTCCACAGAACCAAATAACCCCTCCACCCCTATTCATCCCGTGGGTGTCGTAAGAGGCGACTAAGGGAGCGAAATACGCAGGACACCAGCACTGCAGAGAGAAGGAAAACTTGACACAAACCCTATACCAACCCGTCTGGCCAGCGTGGTATAATAGGCCAAAACCTCCTTTCTTAGGAGAGGCCTATGTCCAGCAGTGGACTCTTAAAGGCTGTTGATGATGATGATGAAATGAAAAATAACAGTTGAATACACTATTGGCGATTATTCACCATCAATAGTTCTGGAGTTGTCTGTTTTAATACAAACTAGATACAACTTATTAAGGTAACAAACAAGGAGAAGAAGATATATTACCTTTTTCTTGGTTTTCGTGACAAACGTTTCAATGGTGACATCCCCGTCGACTTTCTGCAACTCCACGCGTACATAGGGGTCGCTGAAAAAGAAAAAAATATATACATAATTTTTTTTTATGAAAGAGGGACGGGTACCCTGATAGAAAGTGACTACCGCCGCCCATGAACGCCTGCAACTTTTCCTTCTTTCTTTTTCTTTTTTAAAAAAGACAACTCCCGCATTAGGAAAGTATCTTGTGTCACGGGGTACTTCACTAACATACATGAAACGTACACAAAGAACACCCAGACTCAGAACAACAATTTGGAGGATCACACAAAGTGTCGTCCCATGTGGGGATCGGACCCACAACACTCAGCGTAGTAGGAAGCGGCGTGGTGACCGCTTAAACCACTACGCCATCCGTGCAGTCAACTCAGGAGTCATAAACTTGTTGCCGGCCTTTTAGAAAGGAAAACGGCTTTTTCTTCAAGGTTTGAAGGTCGTATCGGTCCGGAAACTCATATCATAACAATTTTGTTTTATGGCTTTGATTATCTGCACTAATCTGTAACGGCTAGACGCCGCGCCAGAGTAGCGCAAGTGCGACACACATGCACAATGCGACACAAATAACTGACACTAGTGTGAAGGCAGTCTAACTGCACAATAATATAGAGCTAGAAGTTTATGCGAATCCCGACCACGTGTATGCGAATACACGCTGTCGGGAATATAGAATTTACATAAGGTACTTCATCCTGGTTCCTGTGAAAAGAAACTGTTCATGAAAGATACTCAGAAAGCCGCGGGCTAAAATGGTAGTAAGACTATCTAAGTATCTACTGTAGATAATTTGACAAAGAGACACTCTGGAAAAACAGCACATAGCACAACATTTTTGCCAACGGTAAGTTTAATCACAATCCAAATCACATGTCGCGGGGGACTTTACAAACATACATGAAACGGACGCAGGGAACACCCAGACTCAGACCAACAATTTGTGGATCACACAAAGTGTCGTCCCATGTGGGGTTTGAACCCACAACACTCGGCGTAGTAGGAAGCGGCGTGGCGACCGCTTAAACCACTACGCCATTCGTGCAGTCGCATTCTCGGGATGCGTCACTATTTAACTCGAAATTTTGCCGAGCGACAGCAATCATTTACGCTGGAGTGCGTCACTGATTAAATAGAGTCTATCCAATGTGCAGGCAATTGCCCGCAAGATCTCTTGCCCTCGACTTTTCCTTGCACCACCAGCCGGATCAATGGAATCCTCGTTACGGATGATATGTCAAAAACTTGAGGATTCGGATTTGCGATACTCTCGATAATCTCTCTTAATGTCTCTACGATGTGAGTTCTCTATGGATTATAACGTTAGTACGGTGTGCGGTCTACAGTTTTTTTTTTTTTTATGGTATAGAAGAATCACCGAGCAGACAGACTTGAGGGTAAATGACTACCGCCGCCCATAGACACCGCGCAGAGTCAGAGGTTTGGGGAGGGGTTGTTATATGTTGATTAAAATGTTCATCTTCAGTGGAGGTTCTGCCCAGCTTAAATTCCTTTGCCCAGCGTGCGACTGTGGAATATGGAGGAGCAGACTCCCCCAATGTTTCCTCTAAGTCGCTGTGTATGTCTTTGGTAGACATTTTTTTCAGGCAGAGGTACTTGATGACAGCTCTTATTTCATTTTTCTCCATTTTGATGTTTTCTCTTCGACAGTTCGTATTCAAATGAATGTATCTCCCGGTAATGGTGTCCTATTTATACATTTTTTTGAAGCTGAAGTAGTGGATATATAAGCAAGCAGAAAAAAAATAATTTGGGTTTTTGTGCGTTCTAGAAATACTCGATTATCATTACTTATTGATCACCCCTCGTATTAACGCAGGCCATCCATTAAATATACTTGATGGAGCGCGTTAATGGAATGGCACCAAATAAAAACCTTATCCCTGTAACTTATAAATGCATTTAATACGGCGATTTATACATAATTTTACCGAACAATATATTTTTGTATGCTTATCGCAGGGAAAATGCGCCAGATAACGTTACGTTCTTTGAGCGTTTGTAATCATGTGTGTTAAGTACCTACATAATTATTACATCCAATACTTTTGGATTAGAGCCGGAGCACACGGTGATTTTTTTCTAGAGTATTACAAACAAAAATATAAAGTATAAAAACTTTATGAGTGGTATAAAGAACCAGCAACCGCCCGCGGCTTCGCTCGCGTCGTTGTTTCGTGTTTCTTACTTTGAAAACGACAAACTACCATACAACCGTTACCGTACCATACAAAATCCTTTCTTAGTGAGTGCTTACAACTTAAAAAGCATCACAAAGTTTTAAGTTTGTAGCCCCAGCGGTTTAGACTCTACGTTGATCAATCAATCCATCAGTCAGAGCAAGCAATTTGCAAACGTATTGCAGTCAACCGTATATATTTCACACTTCAGGTCACACTTTTTCTTATAATATATGTATTTATAACTTATAAATCGTTGTATCTAATTACATGTATCTAATAACACCATATTTTCCCCCTAGTATGTTATATATTCACCTAAGGTCAACAAATAGATATTATGTGTAATTAACACTTTTTATAGTTATGTATATACTACTTTGATTTCTTCTTCTTATTCTTCTTTCCTAACACACCAGCAACAACCCAATACCTCCTCCTCTTCATGTTTTCTCTCCATACCACGGTTGCCTGTAAGAGATTGCCTCTGGGCGATAAGGCCGCCACTTGTACTGAACTAGTTTAAGGTAATTATGTATATTTATATCTGGTGTACAATAAAGTGATATATTATTATTATTATTATATTTCCGCACATATATCCATAATTATATATATCCACGTGTTAAAGTGAGTTTGTTTGTTACGTTTTCACGCGTAAACCACTAGACGGATTTTACAAATTCTTTCACCAATGGAAAGCTACATTATCAGCTAGCAACATATACTTTTTACCGCGATAACCGATAAACAAATATATTTCTAATTAAATTAATTACACACGGTTCTGATCAATTAATGTTTATGTACATCACATAATATTTAAATAGAGGAACACTTCTGTATCTACTCTTAAACTCTTTTGATTTTGGGCTAATACCTGTCTGTCTGTGTTTCATGTGTGTGTGGTGACGGATTAAGAATACGGAGTGTCACCACCCTATTCATCCCGTGGATGTCATAAGAGCCGACTAAGGGAGCAAACTACGCAGGACAACAGCACTGCAAAGAGAAGGAAAACTTCACATAAATTCCAACCCGTCTGGCCAGCGTGTTATAGTAAGCCCAACACCTCCTTTCTAGTGACGATGGTCTGATAATGCAGCCAGGAGATAGATACTGGCACTTATTATTACCTTTCAATTGTATTGGAACAGCAGAAATAACCATGTGCTTGTACTAAGAACTGTAAATAAATATATCTGTACAATCAATCACGACAATTGATAAGAAAATAAGAACTAAATTGATAACAGCGGTAGCGCTATACTGGTGTTCTAACCTAACTTAATATCTTAGAAAACAGGCGATACCTGCCTTATTAAGTAGGGGAATCAATAGAGATCTTCGCAGAGGGAAACAAGATTGACAGCATTTGAATAACACCTCCAACCTACTAAGTGTTAAGTAAGGGCTCTTCTCGGAGACTTTCTTTCGGAGAGTTTAGGGTGTACCAGAGTCCCTTTCAATAGACTTATGTGACGGAACACCTTGTGGTTTTACCCGGTTCGATTCCAAATTACCAGTTTACCCCGAGCTCCAGAGAGATGACGATCCGTGGGGGTTGCCAAACGAAGAAAAAGACTTAAAGTTGGCTTCAAACTGTGTTTGTTTGTCACTGTTGTTTTTGTAATGATGAGCCGTTTTGAACCTGAGTAAGTCTAATTTGTATTTCTATGACGTAGTGCTCGATCTCGATTGCGAGGCCAAATCGAGGTGTACCACGCGCTCATCGGACGGGTCGGAAAGACGAAGGAACCAGCGCCTAATGAGAAGTGGGACTTTTTTATCATGTGGAAACTATCCGACTAAATGATGTGACGCCTGACACAGGACGCTGTGCTGCTGCTTGAAAAAGTGAACCGTAGGGCCTGCTTCTAGTCGAAAATCATCGAAATACAAACGTCATGATTCAATCCGTACATCCTTCCACTCACGAAAGTTTTTGGAACGAAGTTCCTTATTGCGCGTTGTGAAAGGGGGCTAGACGGAAAAAAATCTCACGAAAATTTGTAACGACACTTTTTATTTATTTTGAATTGTCACTTGTCAGTCATTCAGCGCCATCTATCGAATAGATAGGAAATCATTACTTTTCATCTCAGTAAAATTAAAATTTATGTTCTTAGGTTGAGCAAAAAATATTGTATTCGACATCATTTCTCAAGGAGATTTTACCAATGTATAAATTGTTTTAATTAGAAACCAACTGAAAAATATGTAGGTAATAGCCGCTTTCATAGATGGCGTTAAAATCGTGTCGAATCAGTTTTACTCGATCGTCACAACTTCGTTCCTATCGGGTGTCCCACGACACCACACGGCTTATTTTTATGGAATAGGGGCAAAACGAGCAGTTTCGTTCCTCGTTTGGTCTCTACTCCAATTTACAAAACTGGTTCCCTGATAGTAACCTGCAAGACAAGAGACACAAATGTGATGCCGCCTTCGGCATGCCTCCCTCTTTCGTTCCTCCCTTTTATTCTAAGCAACACAACTGAACCTACACAGCGATTTTTGCCAATTTTTTATTTACAAGTGCAAACTTCAGCTCAGACTGGTAGGTATTAAACTAGCTATTAAAACGACTACTACCGCAAATAGACCTTACCTGACAAATGAAAATGAACATATCTTTACACAGAGAAAGTATTTAATGGCAACACATACAAAAGTATACATAATTATATAGTTTATCTATATTATACCTATCCGTGTGGTGACGGATCAAGAATACTAAGTGTCACCACCCCTATTCATCCCGTGTGTTTCGTAAGAGCCGACTAAGAATGCAAACGACGCAGGACAACAGCACTGCAAAGAGAAGGAAAAATTG